TTACTTTTTACCTTAGCTAGCTAATTTCCAAATCATCTAAATCATCAACTCTAATAGAAAATTATTTAATTTTGAAAAATGATTTTTTAAAGAAAAAATAATTAAATAATTATGGGTATTTGGGTGCTGGGATTTAGGCTAGGGCTGGGGCTAGTGATTGGTTTGTGGATGAGCTGGAGAAAATGGTGGTTCGGGTAGTTGCTTTTGGTTCTAAGGGGGGTTGGGTCGGGAGGGGCCTATTGGGGTTGAGAGAGAGAGAGAGAGAGAGAGAGAGGAGAAGGGGAGTTGCAGGGGCAATATATCGGGAATGCTAATGGATTTTTGGTTTTTAGCCTTACTTCTTACTTGATGAAAGGAAAAAAATTATTAAAAAATGAGTGCAAGTCAGAAAATAAAGTAAAAAGCAAAAGAAATAATATAAAAGAGAAGTACCATTTACAAAGAAATTAATGTAGGGTAAGGGTGAAATATGAAAGATAAAGAACAAAAAAAAAATTGATTAAATGAGATTAAAAAACAAAAGGGAGTGTAAATTGAGAAAATGGGAGTAGGAAAGTCAAGTCCTATAAAAAAAATTCTAGGTATTTAAAAAAAAATCTGAATTCTTTTGTATTTTTTAAGAAAATTTTTCAATTTTTTTATTCATTGACGTTAGTGGGCTCTGACAGCAGTTCAGGCTGATCTTGCTTTCGGGCCTGCCCAGTCTTGTTAGCCGACCTCTTGCCCGGGTTGGATTTGCTTAGTGGAATGTGTTTTGCCAGCCCAGGGGGTTTTTTGCTATGGCAAAAAGAATCATTGAAAGTGCTCTAATTAAAGTTTCATTTTTGTTATAAACTTATTATTTTAAAAGAAAAATAATACCAAAAGACACATAGGAGGATTGTAAATATAAATCACATTCCCTTAACTTTTTACTCATTACTTTTAAACATGTTAACACAAGTAATGTATAATGAGTTCTTTCCCTTCTCTCTTTCCGCTTTTTTGTTTTTTGTTTTGGGTTAATGAATAATAAGTTCCTTATGGTGACTTTATCTTAGTCATGTTTATATCTGAGTCCATCATCATCTACGTTTTGCTAATTTCTCAGTCTAATCATCACCCAAACCCTCCCTAAATTCAATTTGTATTGGTCTTCAATGATTGATTTCCTACTGTAAACAGAAATAAGAATTTATTATTTACTTAGCCATTAAGACTCTGTTGTATTTATAAATATGACATCCCACAAAGAAAGGAATATATAGAAAATTCCCACAAATAAATATTTTCTCATAGTTCTCATATTTTAGCAAGGTACCAGAGCAGCAATCTTAGGATTGCTGACTCTAGTTTCAAACCCTAGCTGCCGCCGTGGGGGAGGATGACCTTTCATCCCTCGTGGAGGTAGCACTATAGATTCTTCATTTCCTTCTAAAAATTCATTAACACAAGTTCACAATTGCATTAAAGGGATAAAAAATTACATATTATGCAAGAAAAAATACAATGGATAGACAAATACATAATTGGAGTTGAATAGCAATTTACCAAATATCTCCAAAGCCTTTTTTCTTTGGTATTCTACACATAAATTGAAAGACCCATTAAAATCAATAGAAATAAAAAAAACTTGATGATATAGTTAGAATTTGAGAAGGAAAAAAACTCACAGGCAACTGGCTGGTCGTGTTTCCGCCCCAAGAAAAGAGAAAAAGATAGGTTTATTGATTTTTACAAGAAGGAAATATATAATTATAATAATAATTCTAATCTTTTGGGAATGGGTAGCGTATGTTGTAGGAAATTTGGCTGGCTAGTAGGCCCCTGTGGTAATGTAGTTTTGGCTGCATAGTATTTTGGGCTGTTGGGTATGATCCACATAGTAAATGACTTTTAGGGGGGTGTATTCAATTGAGATTTTAACATATTGTAATTACATGATTTTAATGTAATTGATTTTAGCCGAATTTGTAATTATATGATTTTACTCATGATTTTAATAGATTGCAATTACATGATTTTACTTATGATTTTAATTCACTTAGGATTTTACTTATGATTTTGATAGATTGCAATTATATGATTTTACTTATATTTTTATACAAGCTTCAACTCTATCACTCATCATCATTCACCTATACATAACTTGAAGGAATCTGCTCAATTTTTAGGATACATATACTCAATTTTTAGGGTTAATACAAAGATAGTGGCACAATAACCATCAAATGTTAGTCCAAGGGAAGTACACTGGCATCAACAAGGTAACTCCCAACATAACCACACATGACCAGAATGAATACATTAAAGATAATGAGAGCCTAGACATAACATGCAAGAACACCACTCACATAAGCACTCAACTACAAATGCAAAACTATCATTAACTCTCACAAGCAAAATAATACAACATAAAACTGCAACTACAATGAAAAGCAAATCCATATAGCTAGCTTGTCCACTCCAAGAACAACGAAAGTTCCAGCAAGACCACCCAAGACCACTAAAGAATAAAATAAAAATAAAAAACCAAGTCCAAGCCAAAGTACCCACCACTCAGCTTCAGCCACAACCTCAAGACCACGTGACCAATGCCACCACTACCTAGGTAGGAGGGGAAACCAATCGAGACACACGAGCCCACCAGTTGAAGAGTTTTTTGTTTTTTGTTTTTATATTTATATCTTTTTGCACAGTAGAAAATCAAGAAAAATTAATGGGAAAAAAAACATATGAGAGCATGTATAAGAATCATGCATAGGAGGGTGGGATTTCTTATGTGATTTGTTATTTGTATTACACACTCAAAAATCTCACACAATACACAATTTAATGAAATACATTAAAATCAGTAAGTTTTTGAATACCACGGTACTTTTTCTTATCTTTTAAAAGTCCTAATTGAATACCACCGGACTTGCATTGATTATTTAAAAATCCTAATTGAATACTATCAGACTTTTATTGATTACTTAAAAATCATAATTGAATACCGCTGTACTTTTAAGCTCCAAAATAATCCATTAAAATCTCAATTCAATACACCCCCAATTTAGAGGAAATTGGGTTGCATACTAGTACTTTTTTTAATTAAAAAAAAAAAATTTAGTGGGGGCCAGTGACTGCACTGGTCCCCACATGCCTCCGCCCATGCTCTCCCCCTATCTTCGTCAATAACTCAACAGCCACTAGCAGACCTAGTAAGGCGCAAGGAGGTGCAGCACCTCCCCTCACAGGGAAAACCATTGTAAGTGCTTCAAATTGTCTATTTGCTTAACGTGTACAAATTACCTTACTTCCATTTTCAACATTGAAGTAAATATTTTTGTCATTTTACTTTTATTTATTTTTATAATACTCAATTTACTTAAGTTTCCAATGTAAATAAGGAAGTACCCCTCATTTAGATTCAAATAAAAATACTAGAAAATCAAATTCCCACCAAATCAAAATATGAAAATTCGGTTTTAGTGCAAAATATGATTTAGGCTAAAAATGATAGCTCATTAAGTCAATATATACTCAACAATCATGAGGTTCTTGATTGTTAACCCTAGAATCGCGATTCGACCGTTCACCCTTTCATTGTACGGACTGAACCACCTGCAATCCACCTACAACCCACTCCACGCCGGCTCCTTAAGCGGCACCGGTGATGTATTAGTACATTGGAAACATAGAAGCCTCGTGCAATGTTGCATGAGTATGTATGCTCTATTTAATAATTTAAGCTTGCCTTCAAATTGTAAACGTGGAGATGTTGGCTCCTTTGTGGATTGGGGAAAGACACACGGCGTACACCTCATCACTTGATGTAGATTTATAGGAGGGTTGTTCAAAAGAATTTCAACATTGCATTACATTGTAGTTTTATAAGAGTTTCTATAATATCTACATAGTGTATGAATTTAAAAAATAACTTTTTATTGTTTTTTTTTTTTTTTTAATGTTGCATAATTTCTTAGATGGAATTCATAAATGTGAAACATCAATTGACCAATTGTCTTGATTGAGTCTTTGACTTCAATTCACATTTAATTCTGCTTTCAATTTGGGAACCATTTCCCCCCCATCCCCATGAATAGGATGCAGTTTTCCCAAAAACCTAACTGAATGCCAACCAATGCCCCAACCCCATCTCTCTATGTAACATACATTTTCAACATCATTTCTCTCTGACCCAACCAAATCAAAAACCACCCTTGTAATTAATTTCTCTCCACCTAATACACCACGCTCCTCACGCGCTCCATTCAATTCGGGGGTCCCATCTGTATCTGGGGATAAACAGATTATCAGTCACATAGCACGAGAGGCGCGTGGGTATTTAAAGAATGCATATAATCTTCTAGTCAAAGGTCAACTAGCGACAAAGTTGCTTTCTTAACCGAAGCTTATTATAAAGCCTGGCCATGAAAATCATTTACATCTAATTTAATTTTTCTTTTGCCAAATAATGAAAAACTTAAATTAACAGTTGGTTATGACAAATGCGTCGCTCTCTACATTCGAGTTCGATTCTTCTTTTGTTAATTTAAAATAATTTATATTATTATTTGTATATAAAAAAATAAAATTATACAAAAATAACTTATTGTAAATACAATATACAGAGAATTCAGAAAATACCCATGAAATATAAATTTGTCAAAAATTCTATACTTTGTTTACTTTTAAAAATGGGAATTAATTGAAAAAAATTCCTTAAAATTGTCAAATTATTATTATTATTACTTATATTTTAAAAAAATAGGGTTCTTTAAAATACATTAAATATTTCAGTAATTTCCATTTAGAATTAGAACTCAGTTACAGTTTTAAAAGCAACTTTAATTTACTAATTCATTATTTAAGGGAAAAAAAGAGAAAAACCTTAACGTTTAAACTCTCTCATCCCAGAAAAAGAAACTTACTCTCATTTTGACCACAGTTAAACACACACCTAATCATGGTTAAAATTGTTGGTAAATGAGTCTAGCAGGGCAAGCTAGAGAGAGCTATTGGAGGCATCACATCACATCATTGATAGAGCCAATGGGCAATAGGCAATAGCCCTCTCTGTCTCTCTGATACATGTCATGATTAACTCTATACTCTTCCCATGTCTTTCTCTCTGTATCTATTGTTGTATATAAACAAATAGTCCCATCTTCCTTTTACTGTACTGCAAAAAGCAAAAGAAAAAACTCTGAGCCACACCTCCTGCTGCAAAGCCCAGCCATTTTCTACCCCTTCTTTCCATTTTGCTTTCCTGGAATCCAAACAGTAGATAATCAGACCCAAACCCAGATATCTGAACAAGGAAAGGAAGAGTGTTTGTTTTGCTTCTCTCTGTTTTCTGGCAGCTGGCTTTCTTGCCCTGTTTGTCTCTTTTGGTAAAGGAGAGAGAAGAAAAAAAATGGGTGAGAAAGATGATGGGTTGGGGTTAGGGTTGAGTTTGAGCTTGGGATGTAAACCCAATGAGAATGAGTCTTCTTTGCACTTGAATCTCATGGAGAAGCCTTCACAGTCCATGCAAAATCATCAACACAGAACTTCCTGGAATGAAATCTTTCAATTTCCTGGTAATTTTTTGTTCCTGTGTCTATTTTATTCCCATTTTCCTTGAATCTTCTTCTGGGTTTTCTTTTTTCCTCCTCAAAACACAATCTGAAATCAAAAGGGTAATTTTTGGGCCGTCAGATCTGTTTTGTTTAAGATTTTCTGTGTATTTTTATGAAAAAGCTCACAACTTTTAACTTCTGAAATCACCACAAAGATATACTTATTTACAGCCTTGCTATTTGTAATGGTGTTTTACATTTTTCAATCGCTTGGCAGATCGAAACCCAGATGCCAGGTCGTGTCTGAGAGGAATCGACGTGAACCAAGCTGCGGAATTTGAAGAAGAAAACGGGGTTTCGTCGCCTAACAGCACGGTGTCGAGCCTGAGCGGGAAGAGGAGCGAGAGAGAGCCCATTGGCGATGAGAATGAGGCTGAGAGGACCTCGTGCTCCCACGGAAGTGACGATGAAGATGGCAATGGTGGCGACCTGTCGAGGAAGAAGCTCAGGCTAACAAAGGAGCAGTCTTTGCTGCTTGAGGACACGTTCAAGGAGCACAACACTCTGAATCCGGTCAGTCGCTATTTTTTCTTGGGGTTATTTTGATGATTTCACAAGGGCATTTTGGTCTTTTCGACTTGGGTTTATGTTCTTCACTCTTCTTCAGTGGCAATTGTGTAGTTTTGATGGTAAAACAAGGGCGGTTTTTGTTCACCCTCTTTGTCTTTTTGTGTTCAGAGGCAAAAGCAGGCGTTGGCAAAGCAGCTGAACCTAAGACCAAGACAAGTGGAGGTTTGGTTTCAGAACAGGAGGGCAAGGTGAGAAATTATTCACTGAGTTCAAGGGCATTGTTGGGAATCAAAGGGAAACCAGGGGTAGAATTGTCATTTAAACTAGTTGTTTTGGTTTTGTTTTTGGTAACATACCAATTGCTTTCACAATTCTCATGTGTTTGCATTGAATGAGATGAGGCCAAATCTGGTTGGTTCCCATAAATGATATTCCCCAAACATGTTGCCTGTAATTAAATGAGACATTGGTGATCATGTCTACCAACTTCATTTCTCTTTTGGGTTTTCCTAGGTGCCTGTTCCATTTTAGAATTTGGAAGATTATTTGTTTGGTTTTTGGTAAAATCTAAACCGGGTTCCAACTAACCAATCATTTCTTTCAAAATAATTCCTTGCTATTTGCATTCATTGTTAGTCTGTTAAATAAAATGCAGGACTAAGTTAAAGCAAACAGAGGTGGATTGTGAGTTGCTAAAGAGATGCTGTGAGAAACTAACAGAAGACAACAGGAGGTTGCAGAAGGAAGTGCAAGAGCTTAGAGCACTCAAGCTTTCACCACAGCTCTACATGCAAATGAGCCCTCCCACAACCCTCACCATGTGCCCTTCATGCGAGCGTGTGGCCGTCTCATCCTTGTCATCTTCTGCTGCTGCCGCCGCTTCCTCCACAGCTCCTGCAAATGGCCAAACCTGCCAAAGTGGTGCACCCAACGTCCAGCGGCCCATCCCGATCAGCCCATGGGCTACATTGCCTATCCAACGCAGACCACTCGATGCATCCGCACCCAAGTAGTAACTTGTGGTTGGAAGTTTAATGTGGAAAGCGGATGACTTAGACAGAAGCATAGTTTGGTTATTAGGAGGAAAATGGGTGAGAATGTGTATGGAAGGAGAAGGGAAAAGATGTGGTAGTGGTAGTGGACAAGGTTTTGTCAATTGAAGCCACCCCTTGTTTCTTCAAATTTTGGGCTTTTACGAATTGTTATAGCAAAAGTTATGAAAGTGAGATGGAGATGAGGGTTAAAAAGTTGGAGACCAAGTTAAAAAAGAAGTCATGTTTATATATGGGAAGTGTTAGTAGGAAAATTTCAGCGGTAACAGAAGAACCTGGGTTTTTTTAATGATAATTTCAGTGGAAAAGTTGGCCTTTGAATGTCAATTGTTGTAACCTATTCCATTAGATTTTGACTTAATTGTCGACAATCCATGCTAATCTCTCCCTTTTCTTGAATAGCTATGAAAATAGCAACCAATATAATGATGGTTAGAAGATGCCAAACATTGGAGAGTAATTACCTACCTAACCAAACATTTATCTCAACTATGAAAATGGAAAAAGGGTTTAGTCTCCATTAGTCTCCACCATCAACCAATAAGCTAAAGATTAACCACATCTTTAGCATTTGGTTCACCAATAAGTTGGTCACCTCACTTTCTCTGCATTAAAATAGAAACAAAGATAAAATACATTTCTTTTTCTATGGAGGTTGTAGAAATATCTGTCATATTAATGGTTACGAATCCTCTGAAGCCAACACAAACAAAAACAAGGGAAAAGGTTATGGGGGCAAAAGGGGAGACACAAGAAAGACCACAGGGTCCTGGGAAATCATGTGCACCTGCAAGGACAAATGCATTGAGGGATTTGATATTGTGTCACAAAACTGTCTGAAGAAGAGAAATCAATAACATACAAAAGATTCCGGACAAGAACTTTCTGTGAAGTTTCAACAATCAACAAGAGGACACTGCGTGTTGTAGTTTGCAAAGTGAGGATATTAACATTGTCTTGAGATCAAACTGTATTGACAGTGTCCGCAAGGGACCGCAGTATGCATCCCAAACCAGCTCTCTCTGTCAGTTTTTCATGAATCCGAAGGCACTGGTCGCATGTGGGCCGATCTCCAGTAGACAAGCCTCTATACAAGTACCTTCAAAGATGAAAACCCGCAAATTGTAAAATATCCCAAAGATCACTATATATGAAGAAGTGAAAGGAAAATCAGGAGAAATAATAATAATAAAGAAAACTACTGAGAACAACAGCAAGAAATCGGAAACGTATGTAGAAATAATATATACCTAAAATCTTCTAAAACTTTGGGGAAAAATACTTGCCTATATGATGCTAAAACAAAGCCATACATATGAGAAATGCCCTAATGACTATAACCCGACTTCTAGAAACAGAAAAAACAAAAACAAGAAACAAAAAAGATATACATCCCAATTTTTACTTTGAAGCAGCTTTAGATATTTTATTCTCTTGTAGACATTTTTGGACCCAATACTTTGATCACCCGAGAACGTGACCATTTGTTTTACAAAAAATGCCACTCTCAAGATTAAAATGCTGTGAAATGTAGACAGACAAATGTGTTTGTTAAATGCCAGGAAAGAGCATACGGATAAAATGCAAAGCTGTCACAGACTTACAAGGGGCCTTGTTCTTTATTTTCCCCAAATCTCATTTACTAGTTACACAATTTAGAATCCTTCGGAGATATAAGATACTTAACTGCCCTACTTGATTCAAATTAATCTCTCTAAGGCTTGAATGACGGATAGTGAAGGTCCCTGTTTCTTCATTGCCTAACAAACACAAATAAAGGTAACTTGCCTGTAAAAGACACCATCTAAAAAATATCGATAGCGCACGCAAAAAAGGGCCAACCCCATGATCCAGAATTTCAGACCTACGTACCAAATCAAATTCAAGTTCATTTCTATAGCTCAAGATACTTTGTTTCTCCGTACGGGAAAATTCTTGACCAGCCTAACTGAAACTAATGCAGTATACTCTCATTGTGTGTACTTCTATATTTGGTGAAAGAACTTCAAATGGCTAAATGCTAATTGAACATGCACTAACATTAGGCAGTCTGCATAAAACTAATACCAAATATGTGTGCTATAACAGTCCGTAAAAACACAATTTATTATCAACACAAATTTCAATTCAATAAATTAAAGAAAATACTCAGAAGCATCAGATGAGAATTTTTAAGGTATGAAATATGATATACTGGAAGTTGAAAATAATGATAGTTAAGAAAAAAGAAATTGGGGAGCACTCACTTCATGAGAATGTCATAGTATTCAGGATCCAAAGAAGAAAACATTCCATCAACATCTTTTATAGCCATAATAGCTCTATGCACCATTATCCAATTTGCAGACTGCAAAACGCCAAAAATTCTCATCATTTTCTCTCCATTTCCAAACCAAACAGACCAACAGCAGTAAAATTAAACACAGGGAGACATTTCTGGTTGCTCCCCAAGAAAATCAAAGGAAAACACTAAAAAAAGGAAACTAAAGTTCTAAACTTGCAATTCAATTTTCTATTCCTGTTATATTTTCTCGGCAGCCAAACAGAAGATGGGAAAAAGAGAAAGACAAACCTTGCAACGTTCGTCTCGGGTGTTGGGAGGTGAGCCTTCAAGAGCAGTTTTTAGAGCTTCGACTGGTTTGTATCTAAATGGAGAACGAATTAAACAGTTGAAAGAATTAAGCGGTCTTAGAGAAAATTACACACAAAAAAAGAAGAATAGAATTTGAGTGTTACTGTTTGAGTAAGCTTTCGATCTTTCGAGATTTTTGTTCGATTCTGGTGATTATGGCTTCTGCATTATCTGCTTCCACAAATTCCTCTGTTCCTGCCATTTTTCACACACTCTCTCTCTTTTTCTCTTTCACTGTGATTTTCTCATCTGCCAATCGGAAAAGACCTGGGGAAACATTTTCCCGAGAAAGTGACGCGCCAGGCGACTAAAACTGTGTCGTTTTGATGTCGATCATGAAGTATTTTCGTGCAATTTGGGCCAGGGCTATAATTAAAGTATTATAATCAACGCTGTCGTTTTGCACCGTTTGGTAAATTGCTTTTGTCTCGATCAAATGACTTCCAAGACCTAAGAGATAAGGTGGCCACGTTCTATGAAAGGTTGTAAAATCAAACAAAATGTAGGGGCATTATCGTCATTTGGAGTAAACGGTCATAATGATTGACACCGCACTTTTTGAATTCTTCTTCCCCTCCTCACACTTTTTTCCACTCTCTCTCTGTCTCTTTGTCTCTCTGTCTCTCTCTTCCTTGGCTTCAAAGTCTTCCTTTCTTCACCATCTCCATTTCATACAGAAGCAAAAAGCTCCTCAGAGGCTCACCTGTTCATCAATGGAGGACCCAAGCCCTTACAGAAAACCACATTTCCCATATTCAGAGCTAAACTCAGCAATTCATCCAAACCCCATTAAACAAGGTAAGTCCTACATGATGCACTTTCTCTTTAAAGCTCTCTTCTTTGCCCTTGTTATTATGGTTCTTCCACTATTTCCTTCACAAGCTCCTGACTTTATCAACCACACCATACTCACCAAGTTCTGGGAGCTAATTCACCTTGTTTTCATTGGCATTGCTGTGTCCTATGGCTTGTTTAGCAGAAGAAATGTTGAAAGGGGATTTGAGAATCCCTCAAATCTTGGTAGTTCAGAGTCTTATATGCCTAGAATTTTTCCTGTTTCATCAAATTTTGATGATGGATATGAAAACCCATGTGGGTCTGATGAGAAAAGAGTGGTTGGGCTTGGGACTTGGAATTCTCAGTATTTTGTAGGTAACCCTGTTACTGTATCTTCTCATGAAAGCACTGGTTTTGATGCCCAGTGCAAACCCAGTTTGCCAGTTCATGAACATGGTTCTGAAAATTCATATGGGTACAAAGAGAATAATCTAACTCAAGCTTGGAGTTCTCAGTACTTTCAGGGTGAACCAATGGTGTTTGTAGCTCAACCAAATTATGGTCTTAATGAATGGGGTAAACCCAGATCAATAGTTGATTCTGAGCCATTAGGGTTGCCTATTCGGAGCTTGAAATCAAGGGTAAGAGACCAGGATAGTTCTGAATTTGTTACTAGGAGTGAGTCTGGTTCAAGTTCTAATTTTTCACCTAATAGTTCTGATAAGAGTAGAAATGGGGAATTTGGTGATTTGGGACCTCTAAATTTGGAAGAGGAATTCAATGAAGCTACTGCAGCACCTTTCCCAGCTCATCGGGGTTCGAGTTCTGGAAGGATGGAAAGGGGGAAAAGAGTAGGTAGTAGTGGTCGTCCTTCACATTTTAGGCCACTGTCAGTTGATGAAACTCAGTTTGAATCAATGAAAACCCGGTCCTTACGGTCCACGTTGTCTTTCTCTTCCGAGTCTTCTCAAACTAGTTCCATGTCTTCTTCTCCAAAAGAGGAGTCTTTTGCGCGCTCTATATCTTCAGAGGCTCTGAACTCAAAAGTGAATAATTTGAAGAAAAGGAAGAGTTCTCAAGGGTCTTCTCCTTCAGGCTTACCCTCATCACCACCAAAACCAATTACTGAAAAAGTTTCAATGAGTACACTGCATTCTCGGGGATATAGCATTGGTTCTTTCCATGAGGAGGACTTGAGGAGAAGCTCAGAAAATTACTTCAAGGACTTGAGCGGAAGTGGAAGTGAAGAGGATCAATTGGGTAACAAAGAGTTGGGGCCAGCTTCTTTGAGATCAGATGTGAAACCTGCAAGCCTCACTAAAGCGTCATTAAGGGGAAGATCAGTTAGAACAATCAGACCAAGTAGACTGACCACTGATGACAAGGTTGAAAAGATGTGTGATAATGGTGGAGCTATATCTATGAGGAAAGATATAATTCAAAATGGAGGAACCGACAAGAAGTTTTTTGACAATGTAACTGGTAAGCTAGATCTTGGCAATTCCTTGCACATGCCAAAGCCAACAATTCCCAAGTATCAGAAGAAGGAGATGCAAGAATTTCATGGCAATGTTGTTGCCGAAGAGTCTGAAGACGACTCGGAAAGTGAGGCCAAAAACTTTCTAGTAAGTTCAGAAGATGAAGATGCTGATCCTCCTGCTGCTGCTGCTGCTACATGTAACTCTGTCAATGTTGCAGGACCAGACTCTGAGGTTGATAAGAAGGCCGGCGAGTTTATAGCCAAATTTCGAGAGCAGATAAGGCTTCAAAAAGTAGCATCACTTGACAGATCAAGAGGGCTAGGCACGAGTGGTAATTGCTTTAGGTGATCATATATAAAATACTAATAATGCTCTGTAGAGTTGTGGGAAGATGGATCATTCATCCTGTTCTAGCTTAAAGTGTTTATCTATTTATTTACACTTTATTCATTTGATGGGCATTTCTTGTTTCTGCTGTACAAGACCAGGTAGATGTTTAGAAAGCATTTTCAATCACACTACTATTTTCCTATTGTTTCTGTCGCATTTTGGAAACACGTTTCTCCAAATGCCATGATCCATTTTTCTTTAGTAGAGAAGTTATAAATATTTTAAGGGGAATTTTATTGACACCCTCAATCTGTTCAAACCACACCCACCTCTCCCTCCGAAGAAAAACACCCAACAGCCAAGCACCCACCCGATCACCTCTGTTGTGCGTGGCCACATGGGCCCATTCCGGCGACTCCCCTTTCCCCAGCGAACCCCTTCTCCCCTCCTCCTCTATCTCAAAATCACCACTAAAAATACTATTCCGACTAGAATTCCACTTTCTGTTTTATTACTTTAACGGCAACAATAACTTTGAATATGAGCTGGATAATCTGCAGCAGTAACTTGATTGCCTCATGGTTCTCATGGTATATAATCATATAGAGATCAAAAGACCAGCGATAGCCACATTCAAGGCTCTATAAAACAGAGTTCTCCAAAGAAGAAGAAACAGGTAACAAGTTCAAAAGTTCAAAGTAAAGAATACTATCATATCGCGACACAAGCAGAACATGCGACAAATGGAATCAAAAGAAGTTTTGGGTGCTCAAGAGCGAAGAAAGGAATCTCATCCAATGCCATTGTGTATAATACTTTGCTTTTTGTATTTCCAACCAAGTTGAAGAAGCTGAAGGTCTCTTTGCTGAGATGAAATCAAAAGGCACAGCTGCCTGCCACCTTCAATACTCTAATGGGTGCACCCAGCAGAGTTGCAGCCTAAATTGTTGAGAAGGTGCCGAGGCAGGATATTGTTAGCTTAGCAGGTTTCCTGGGTTTTCAACCTCGAGGACAAGGTTAATTTTGTGAGGGAGGGGTAATGTGAGGATAATGCCATGTCAGCTGCGTAGTCAGGATGATTTGAACTTGCGATTGGTCCAGGTCACCTGTGATGTGTCAAGAATTGCTGAGCTGTCATTGTTCAATTACCTGGGTTGTTAACTAACTAAGGGTTATCAATTAGTTAGTCGGGTAGTTTTGGCGCCAATTAGGCTTGAGCTTGCAAATCAGCCTTATATGCTAAAAATTGTGCAAAGCAAGGCATGTGATCCGGTTCTTAGAGCATCCACAGTTGGGGGGGTGTATATTGGGGTGTATGTTAAATATACATCCCGAGTTAGCGGAATCGTTTCTAATGGGGAGATGTAAATGAATGTAAATATATATCACCACCATGAGAATGTAAAATAAAATGTATATTTACATATATTTTTACATCCCTTGCAGGCGGGATTCACCCGAGAAAAGAGAAGAAAAATAAAGAAAAGTCAACATAAAAGGCTGGGACTTACGGCTACACCTCCGAATTTACACCCCCATTGGAGCAAAAAACATATTTACGCCTCCCGGATGTGCAAAAGGAATGTAAAAGTAGCTTTACACCCCCGAATTTACATCCCTCCACTGTGGATGCTCTTACCCGCACAATAAGATCATTTCTTGTACTTGGGTTAAGGTAGAATTAAGGTTGTTGGGGCATGGTGTTTTTCTTTTTCAGTTATTTTATTTTAATGGAGAGTAAAATTGGTATTTTGAGGCAAGAGTTTGTAGTTGAAGTGATTTAGAGTAGTTACACCTGCATCTAATGTCGTGTGTCCCCAATAAATAAAAAATCGGTATTTTGAGGAAATTTTTTTGAAGGATTGGCAATAAATTCCTCATATCCTAATTTTTTATTATAAAATTGAACCAAACTAAATTTATTCGGCCCATTGGACCAAACATAGCCTTGATTGAACTTACTATTTTCCTTCGGTTCTTCTCAACCCAAAAATACCTTTGGATCGAATTGGACCCAAACAACAGTAAGATCATTTGGGTCTGCTTGACCGATTTTTATAGTTCCCCTAGCAATATTGAAGAACCTTATGGGCAGCAAATGATATTACAAGAACCAAAGGGAGTGGAATGATATTTGTTTGCCTCTTTCCAGAAAACTGAACAGATAACATCAGCAAAATAACAGCAAACGGCTTCTTTCTCTCTCTCTCTGTATGTGTGTTTGTGTGTTTGTGTGTTGGGTGTCTTTAGCTCTTTGTCTAACTCCATTTATGCCGGAAGCTTAAAACCCAAGAGACGTCATGCTGATGATTCCCTCATCTTTTAAACCCTGTAATCTCTCTCTCTCTCTCTCTGTCTCTCTGTCTCTCTGTCTGTCTGTCTCTCTCTCTCTCTCTCTCTCTCTCTCTCTCGGTGTATTTAAAAATATATATGTATGTATTTATGCATATGCACATGGGTGCATTTGGAATAGGATACTGTTAGTTGCTCAAAATTTGAATTTCAGCTTTCTTTACACTTAACCCAGAAGTGTAGATTTCTCTAAACAGAGGTTTTTTGAGTGTGCTTTTTTTCTTTTGGTGTTTCAGCTTTTAGTTTATGGCTCAGAAATTGGTTATGAAAAATTGCCTCTGCTTATTTGTTTGCAGCATAGACAAAGCTAATGTCTTTGTCGATTACTAAATGAGCTTTTCTAACTTATATGGGAAAAATACTTCAAGAGTGTAGGTTTCAGTTTCCATGATAATGCAATTGAAATTCTCACCTTCTTGTTTACAAATAAATTCACAGCCATTCCAAGACATGAGAAGTTGTTCTGCTTTATATTAGTTCTGTTTCATGTTCTCATGGTAAAATTGGGTCTCTAGATCATTGAAATTTTGTAGTTCTTAATGAGTCTCAGGACTATTCAATCGCATTTGTTATTGTTAGCTTCACACTGCAAACACTAGATATTAGGGAATGAATCAATAATCTATATCAAGTTAACACTCTCCTCACGCGTCCTGAACAGAATAATAGATAACTGAAAAATGATGTGGTGAGAGGTTTTGAACTCATTACCTCTTGAAACCAAAGCTCTGATATACCATGGTAGACTACTGTTGTGCCCCAAAAGCTTAACGTATTAGGAATGAGCTAACAATGTGTATCAAACAAACAGTTTCTCATGTGCAGCCCAATCTGGCTTGTGGAGAGAGCACACACACACACACACACACACACACACACACACACACACATATATACATATGCCGAACATCTTGCACTGCAGAAAACTAACACATAGCTGGGTACTGAAGATGAGAAGATCTCTCAGAACCAGAGCTGATATCATCTTAGACTACCCCAAAAGTTTTAAGTGGTTAGGAAATGAGTGAACAATTGTAACAAGGAGTTTACTTCCTAGGGATCATTTTTTGCCTGGTCATGACCTAATACGCGTGGTTATGCTGACTGCATCATGCAGTAAACACATCCGATCGTGTTGTGCAATGTAGCATATCCGTAACTATGCGCGATAGATGTGTGCCCTGTTTATATTTATGTATATACATGTTTTTTAAAAGAAATTTATTCTTCATCTTGGTTAACATGCCAACACTTCCTCTGTTGTTCTCAAATTATTGCAGAAGAAACCCGTGTTACTCCATTTGCTTTCCAGACAGAATGAATGAAATTATGAGCAGATTCTTACTATTTTAACATAATGCGTTGAGTTTATGAAGTTTTTTTTTCAGCAGCCAAACCGTGAGCATAATTATGTTTTACTTATCTTTCTTGTCAATTTCTACTTACTGACAAACAGAATTCTTCCAGCTTCCCTACTAAGGATTCATTTGATTCAGAACAAGCAAATAATACAATGCTGCTCAAGTCACGACTTGAGACATGACAGGTTAGGTTTTGATTAATTGGTTAACAAATTTAGATTAATGTTTACCTACCTTATTCTGTTGATAAAAAACAAAATATTTATGTCGCTTATACAAATCTTTGATTTGCAGGTCCGGGGCAAAGAGTGGCGGCATGTCTCATTATGAAGAGAATGTGAATCGAAGGCTTCTCCTATTTCTTTCAGTCACAACTAGCTTGTTTCCAACTTTATCTTCTTCTGGAAAGACAAAGAGTAAAAGTCAATTTGACGAAAGACGCTTACTTGAACAAAACAAGCGGATACAGAAAGAAAATAATGCACCCGAAGACTTTCCAAGTTTCATTAGAGAAGGTTTGTGCCACTGTTACATTTGCAAATACAAACACTGACATATTGTTTTCCATAAATCATCTGCTCAATAACTGCATTTCCTGGTCATCTGTTACTATGATAAAATTTCAAGCCTCAATCAGAGAACCTCTCTCCAGCTATGTCATAATCATTGTTGTTGCTTTTCTAAACATCCCGGCGGATCCAACATGTGTGTATGAACATGTGTATCAGGTTTTCAGGTTCAGGTAGTAACGCCAGAGAACTACACAAAATGTGACTCAGGGCTTATATATCGTGATTTTGTAGTTGGTGAAGGTGATTTCCCACAGGCTGGTCAGCAGGTTTTTCTTTCATTTTCTTTTCCAAAATATATCACAGTTTGACATTTACGGTTGAAGCAATATCAAAATTTGGGGAGAGGATTATGCCATGTCATCTGTAAGACATCTTAGAAAAATTTACTCGGAAAAAGAAAGTCCTTCCAACTTTTAACTTTGGTTTTTTTTTTCCCTAAAAAATTGACATTAAATTTATGTGAATCACTGAAACTTTTGATAAAACTCTTCTCCAACCATGACCTACTCTGATTCAAGATACTTTGCAGGTGATGTTCCACTATGTTGGCTACAATGAGTCAGGCCGTCGTATTGACAGCAGCTACACACAGGGTTCTCCTGCCAGAATCCGCATGGGCACTAATGCATTAGTCCCAGGTTAAAAGTGAAATCAATTCTAGAGTTCATAAAATTTTGTGTACTTTCTCCTTTGCCCTGGCCCCTCTACCTCACTCCCAAAAAGGAAGTGAGAAGGGGGAGGAGGAAAGATAACTAGTAGTTGAAGTTGCTAAACTAGGAAGTACTACAGGATTTGAAGAAGGAATTCGTGACATGAAACCTGGGGGGAAAAGAAGAATAATCATTCCACCAGAACTTGGACCCCCGGTCAGTTACTCATCTCTCTGATTCCCTTACTAAGTTACTATAAAGACTATAAAATGTTGAATTATACTAAATATGGTTGCTCTAAGAAAGACTCCGCAGTTATACAAAATGTTCTACTAGTACTCTGTGTACTTCTCTCACATTTCTTCCTACGTAATTCACCTCACCTAAGATATTTTTGGCATGGTTGAGGAGGCAAAACATTAGTAGACTTGCAATTGCAAGTTTCTGTTGTGATTGTGATCCTTTCCATTTGCTTTGATTTGGAGGCATTCTTCTGTACAGTGACTAGTTATTAAGGTTCTAACAAATGCCTTGAATTCTTAATTATCTTATTTTTATTTGACCACCCTGATTTGATATATTGCAAAATCTGAGCCCCTGAAGCCAACTTTCAGTCTATGGTTATTCAACCCTATGGCGTTGATCTGTTGTTTGACATCTCAGGACTTAAGAATTGGAAGATTCAAGTTTCAACAAAATGTCATTGTTTTTACATTGCAGGCAGCTTGGGTCCTGTGATGCAGAGCTATCATAACATAAGCATATTCTTTGATCAAGAAATTGGATTGTTGTGCTTTCTTTTTTCTTCTCTTTTTGGGAATCATGTGCGTTTGTATTAAACTTCCATATTGTTGGTGTCGAATTAACTTGACTGATAACATGCGATCTGTTTAACAGGTAGGACCTTCTACATTTTTCAGCTCCAAACAGTTCGAAGTGTTTGATGTGGAACTGCTAAGCATTCAAAACTGCCGAAGGAGGACTGTCCTGGCTTTTTACTCTGACTTTGTATGCGAATAAATGGCGAGGCAACATTTTGCCCATTTGGGCATCTGGACATATCTGCACTCTCTGAAATGGCCAACACATGGTTATTTTGTCGAATGAATTTCGAATTCGGCTGCAGAGTAAGGGATGAGGCTCATGTGTAGTTGGAAAAAGGAATATTGTGTAACTAAAATTCTTTAAGAATAGTTCATGTATTTAGCAATTGTTGACAAAGATTGTGTTCACAAATAAAAATTGAGTTGCATGCATGTAACTTATTGAATATTATTTTAGTCCACAAATCACCTATCTATTGTAGGGTTTTATTACAAAAACCAATTGGTAAAGGGATTTTAAGAGTGGTGCTATTGTTGTCACCCATCGATCCAATTTGCCATGGTAGCTTATTTATTTATTTATTTTGAGGTTCTTTTGTTCTTTAGGGCTTGGGATTATGGTTGGGAATAAGGGGAAGATAAAGGGGAATAGCAGGAACAGTTTGGAAACAAGACAGGGGAATAAGACTGGAGCTCTGTCCAACTTCAATTGCATTGCAAAAGATACAGATGAAAATGCCTCAGGGCCGGCTAGAAGCTATGCTGTGTGGGTCAACAAGAGAAAACCAGAATTGAAACATCCAAAATCGAAATAAGATTGAACCAAAAAAGGAAGCAACGTTTGAAGGCGTTCCGCGTGACCTAAGGAAAAAGAGAGAGGGTGCCGTTTTTGGGGCTTTTGCCTTTCCTTCGTCAGAAACTGCCTTTTTTGGTGGTTTCTGGCTAGATTTTGTGTCCTCTTCTGACTGGGTTCTTGTGATTCGTTGGAATTCATGGAGGAAGGGTCCCCTGGAGTGCTTCCTAAGCACTTGAGGCATTTTAAGAGGTCTCGAATTGTTAATGATGGCGATCTGGAGTGTGCTATGGAGGATGATGGTGTTCCTTCTTCGATTTTTGACTCTAGGTTGCAATCGAAGTCGAATTTGAAAGTTGGTACTGAAAGCTTCCGAGATAAATTGATGAATAAAGTGAATCTGATTAAGAACGTGGGTATTGATGTGAATTCCTTAGATGCTGAGTATGCTGAGCTTAATGATAAGGATGATGTTGTGCTTTCAAGAGGTGATCGTGGGCCGAGTATCCAGTTCTCAGAGCGTGCTATGAATCGTCTTTGTAAGCCTTGGCAAAATGCATTGATCATCAAGTTAGTTGGGAGGTTACACACCTACAATTACCTTCATGATCGTCTGCAACAGAAATGGAGTTTGAATGGAGGATGGAAGCTGGTGGACTTGGTGAATGAGTATTTTGTTGTTACATTTGAGGTGGAGGAAGATCTGAATTATGTGTTGACTGAAGGGCCTTGGATCATAGCTAGGCAGTATCTCACTATGCAGAAATGGAGGTCAGGTTTTTGTCCTTCCACTGCTAGTATTACGAGAATGGCAGTTTGGATTAGGGTCTCTGCCATTCAATTGGAATGTTTTGATGTTTGGGCTTTAAAGAGAATTGGAAATCTCTTAGGCAAGCTGTTGAAGATTGATGCTCATACCACTTCACAAAATAGAGGTAAGTTTGCCAGACTTTGTGTTGAGTTGGATTTGACTAAACCCCTTGAAGCTTTTGTGCAAATTAACCAAGTTTGGTATAATATTGAGTATGAGGGGCTTCCTGAGATTTGTTATAATTGTGGTCTCTATGGTCACAAAAGGGAAAATTGCTTATTGAATGCTAATTCTAATCCTGATAAGGCAAGGAGTTCTCAGGATGATGAGGTTTCGGGGGATGATGCTGCTATGAGTAAGGAGGACAATTTTATCAATAAAGAAGGGTTGCGTGGGCCTTGGATGAATGTGCCTCCTAGGAGAAGGCCCAAGGTTAGTGGTAATGGGGATAATGGTCAGGGTTTGGAAATAGGAACCAAGGATCTCGTTTTGCTGCTCTCAGGCAAGTTGGGGAAAATTTTGGCAGTGATAATGTGAAAACCGATGTGTTAGAGAGGCAACCTCCTTTGGGACAAGTTTTTGATTCTTTGATTGGTCCAAAGGTGTGGACTAAATCTAAGGGGCACAAAGCTATTAATAAGTCTGCTTTGAAGGACATTTCTAATCAATCTCGAGTTATGGCCCCTCCTTCTATGAAGAAGAATCAGGCTGTGATTAGGCCTAGTAAGGAAGTTTCAAGTGTTCTTAGCTCTAAAGGGAAATTTGCTTTCTCTGTCAAGCAGGGAGGTAATTCTAGTTCAGTTAATGAGCATATGGCTAGTTGGGAGTCTGGACAACATCTGCAAAAAGATAAAAATGTCTATATTTTTGGTCATCAACCCCCTAGTATTATTGATCCTTGTGATGAGGCTGAGGGCAGTGATTCTGGTGTTGATGAGGATTCAATGGCTCTTTCCGTTACTGAAGAAGAGTGTCCAATTACGACTATGGATTTGTCTGAGGGACAAGTGAGTGATCCTAATGAGAAGTTGGTTAATAATGTCTTCGCTCCTAAGGGAGGCATGGCCGTTGATTTTTAAGGGTTTCGCCTTTAGGTGACTTTTTTCTTTAGTCTTTTTCTCATGAATATCCTTTGTTGGAATTCTAGAGGTGCAGCTTGCACTAAATTTCGATCTAAGGTGATGGATTTGGCCCGTTCTCATCATATTGATGTTCTGTTTGTGTGTGAGCCAAGAATAAGTGGTCCGAAAGCTTTGGCTGTAATAAAATCGTTGCGGTTTTCTTGTTTTGAAGTAACTGATCCAGAGAAATTTTCCGGGGGTCTCTGGCTTTTATGGAATGATGCTAAAGTCAAACTGGATATTATTGGTACTTCGGATCAATCTATCTCTGCTTGTCTTTCTTGGCAAGGTCAGAAGCCTTGGCTTTTTCCTGCAATTTATACTAGACCTTGTAGTGTTAAGAAAGCGAAGCTATGAGAGTATTTGAATTTTGTTGCTAGTTGCCACCAAATGCCATGGCTATTGGCTGGTGATTTTAATGATATTCTCCAAGCTGAGGATAAAGTTGGAGGTGTTTCTTTATGTAGAGTGACTGGTATGAAAAAGTGGTTTGATGCAAACAATATGATTGATCTGGGGTTCTCTGGGCCTAGGTTTACTTGGACTAATAGAAGGGTGTTTGAAAGGATTGATAGAGCGATTTGTAATGAAAAATGGCGAAGTTTGTTTGCTGATGCTAATGTTATTCATCTGCCTAGAACAAAGTCTGACCATTGTCCTATTAAAATTTGTCTGCACTTAAGATTTTCTTCTGCTCCTCATCTAAGGCCCTTTAGATTTGAAGCGATGTGGTTGAAGAGTGACAAGTTTAAGGATTTTGTTGCTCAGCAATGGGGGAATTTTGAGGGCTCTGCTTGGGAAAATTTTTTAGCCTTGGTTCAACCTTTGAAACATTGGAATATTCATGTTTTTGGTCATTTGAGACAAACAAAGGCTCGTTTGCTTGCTAGATTGGCTGGTATCCAAAGGTCTTTAAGTAGAGGACCAAACAGGTTTCTCAGTAATTTGGAGGTTACTCTTGTGGAGGAGTTCAATCTACTTCTTGAGCAAGAGGCTTTATTTTGGCAGCAGAAATCTCGAGTGAAATGGCTTCAAGAGGGGGATAGGAACACTAAGTTCTTTCACCTCACCGCTATTATTAGAAGGAGGAGAAATAAAATTGAAAGATTAAAGGATGAGAATGATGTTTGGGTGGAAGAGTCTGAGGCTATTAAGAGTGTTGCTGTGAAGTATTTTTCTGATCTCTTTAAGTCGAGGCAGTGTTTGCAATGTAATGTGGACATTCCTAAACTTTTTCCTTGTATTGACGATGCTGATGTGGCTGGGTTAGTTAAGTCTGTTGACTTACAGGAAGTTAAGGACAGCTTGTTTGGGATTGGTGGGATTAAAGCTCCAGGTGTTGATGGCTATCCTGCTTGTTTTTATCAAAATCAATGGAGTCTTTGTGCTGGGGATATCTTTGATTTGGTCAGTACTGTTTTCTCTACTTGCATTATTCCTGAGAAGCTAAATACTATTTTGATTACTCTGGTTCCTAAAGTGCCCAATCCTAGTTCTATGGTGCATTTTAGACCAATAAGTTTATGTTGTACTCTTTATAAAGTGATTTCGAAGATTCTTGTTGCTTGATTGAGGGTTATTCTTCCTAATTTGATCAGTCCTAATCAAGTTAGTTTCATCCCTGGTAGACAAATTGTTGATAATATCATTATAGCTCAAGAGTTAATGCACAAGTTTAAGATTTCTAAAGGGAAAAAAGGGTTCATGGCTTGGAAGATAGACTTGTCTAAAGCTTATGACAGACTTAATTGGCATTTCATTGAGTTTGTTCTTGTGGAATTAAAGCTGCCTAGAGCCTTCATTCAGCTGGTTATGAGTTGTATCTCTTCTGTTCAATACAAAATATGTGTTAATGGGGAATTGACTGATGCTTTTCGACCTCAGAGTGGTATTAGACAGGGGGATCCTCTTTCCCCCTACCTGTTTGTGCTATGCATTGAGAAGTTATCTCTTATTATTTTTGATGAAGTGGGCAAAAAGAGATGGAAATGTGTTAAATCTTCTCAGTCTGGGCCTTGTGTTTCTCATTTATTTTTTGCTGATGATTTGGTGTTATTTGCTGAGGCTAGTACTAAACAAGCTCAGATTATGAGGGAGTGTCTAGAGAAGTTTTACAGTGTCTCTGGGCAGGCTGTGAATTTTGACAAATCAGCTATTTTTTGTTCTCCTAATACTGGGAATGTACTAGCTCAGGATATTTGTCGTATATGTGGTTCCCCTTTGATGGCAAATCTTGGCAATTATTTGGGAATGCCAATTTTGCATAATAAAGTCTGTAAAGATACCTATGGTGGTTTGGTTAACAAAGTGCAAAATCGCCTTACTTCTTGGAAAAGCAAGCATTTGTCTTTAGCTGGTAGGGCTACCTTGATACAGTCAGTTACCTCTTCTATTCCTGTGTATACAATTCAAACTGCCAAGTTGCCAGTGAGTGTGTGTAATGCTTTGGATCAGATCAATTGTAATTTTTTTCTGGGGAGGCACAGAGAATAATCATAAGATTCATTTGTGTCAATGGGATTTAGCATGCAGACCTAAATGTAGAGGAGGTCTGGGTTTCAAAAAAACTCAGCATATGAACCAAGCTCTTTTGGCTAAGATTGGATGGAGGATGCATGCCAAAGATAAGGGGTTATGGGTTAAAATTTTTGAAGATAAATATTTAAAAGGGCAGAGTATTGTGGATGTTGATTTGAAAACTAGGCAAGATTGTTCCTCAACCTGGAGAGGGGTTTTATATGGTTCTGAACTCCTAGCCAAGGGTTTAATTTGGAGAATTGGTAAAGGGGATGTTGTGAAGTTCTGGAAAGATAATTGGATTTTGGGCTCTCCTCTATCTCTTTATGAGAGAGTTGTCAATATGGCTGATCCTGACTGTACTGTGTCTCAGTTTTTCAAAGATGGCTGGTGGGATATAGAGAGGCACAGAGAAGTTTTGTCTGAGGAAATGGTCCAACGAATTATTAATTTCCCTGCTGGTTTTGGTGGTGGTAGGGCTGATGCTAAGATATGGAAGTGTAATCCTAATGGAGTGTTTACTGTCAAGACTGCTTATGAGTTGTTGGTGCAAGGTGAGCAGTGGTTGGATCCTTTTTGGAAGATTCTTTGGAAACTTAAAATTCCTCCAAAACTACAGTTTTTTTTATGGTTGGTCTTTTAGGAGAAAATCATGTCTAATGCTCAGCGTGTTAAAAGGAGGCTTTCTTCTGATTCTTCTTGTAGTTATTGTGGATGGTACAATGAAGATGCTTTACATATTCTGAGGGATTGTTTGAAAGCTAAGGAACTATGGAGTCAATTTCTCCTTCCTAGTCAGTTTAGTAAGTTTTTTTAGGCTGATTTTAAGCCTTGGCTTATGAGCAATCTATGTTCTTTAGTGAAATGGTATGGCTGCTTCCCTTGGATTGATGTGTTTGTTTTTACTTGCTGGTTCTTATGGAAGTGGAGAAATCAACATATTTTTAGTGGGGATGATACTTTACCTTTGCAGCCCATTCAAATTATTGTTGTTGCAGTTTCTGAGTGGTTTAAAGCTTTCGGTGGGACTAAAAACCAGGAAATTAAGGAGCACCAGGTTCTGTCCTGGGAACCTCCTATCTCTAACTGGTTGAAATTGAATGTTGATGGCTCTAGAAGGGGTATGTCAGGTGCTATTGGGGCTGGGGGTTTGATCCGAGACTCGGTTGGGAATTGGCATGGTGGTTTTGTAGTTAATCTGGGGGAGGGCTAGATCTTAGAAGCTGAGCTTTGGGGATTGTTCTTTGGCCTTAAACTAGCAATTGGGAAAGGTGTAAAGAAACTTTTGGTTGAAATGGATTCAGCCACTACTATCAGGCTTATTCAGTGCAAGGAAAGTCTTGAGGCTCATCCCCTTGCTGGGTTACTGGATTGTTGTAGAGAGATGTTGTCTCAACTGGATTGTGTGGAGGTGCATCATATTTTTCGGGAGAAGAATTTTGCTGCTGATTGCCTTGCTAATTTGAGCTATAATATGGGGTCGGGTGTTTGGTTTTTAGATGAGGCACCTAGTTGTCTTGGTTCCATTTTGATTGATGACTCTTTAGGAGTTGGTCACCCTCGTTTGGTTCGAGTTGTGTAGTTGTTGTTTTGGGTTTTGGGGTTCTTTCCCCCCTGTTTCATTAAAAAAAAAAAAAAAAAAAACCAGAATTGAAACCTTTGAAAGAAACTTTTGATTCCAGTAATAATTTTCATTTTGATATTAAGACTTTTACGCAAGTAAATTGTCGAACTTGGCATGTTGAAGAAAAATGTGAACCTCCAAGCAAAATTTCACCACCACTAATCAATTAATGGGGAAAAATTATGTTGAAGGAAAATATGAACCTCCCAACGTAATTTTCCCACCACTAATCAATTAATGGGGTTTTATTATTTTAGGTTCGACCCATTCAAGACACAAGTCTCTTAATTACAATCCCTCGCTACAAGGGAAAAACCCTTTGATTCCATCATAAAAAAACATAATGTGTGTGTGTTTGGTTTTGCGGCTGCTCCCAAATCCAACCTCAGGGTGCCTACGTATCCCTTGCGGGAATCAAGTCACTCGTAGTTCAATGATTCGCAATAAATAAATGAATCGTCGCAAAAGAAGGAATTTGAATGAATTTGATTTAGGAGTGTTTGAGTGAATTTAGCTGAATAAACCAGGGATTCGATAGGGAATTGTGTTTGGGATGGTTGCATCTAGATTGAATCTCTAGATTGCCTACGTACCCTTTCAAAGGGATCAAACCAACGTAGTTCGGAATTGATTTGGAAATTAATGGGTAAGTGTGGCCCAATAATTTAGAATTTGTGTTTTTGGGACAATTGAGAGATTCTCATAAGTGGATGACCTATGAGAAAAAATAAAAATTAATGGGTAAGTGTAGCCCACTAATTGAAAATTTGTGTTTGAGATATTTGAAATTAATCTCAGTGAAATTTGCACGGGTAGATGACCCATGGGAAAAATTAGATGGTTTTATACCATTCTTCTTTTTGTCAATGTCCAAGAAAGATAATGACCGATTTTGATGAACTCACTAATTCTCTACAATTGACATTTGCATTCAGGAAAATGTTTGGACGAATTTGGTTAGGATAAAACCAGGGATTCAAATTTAGTTGCGGTTGCGTCTAGTGGGATGCTAGACTGCCTACGTACCCTTGACGGGATTAAACCGACGTAGTTCCAAACTGATTTGTGTAAAGATTTGGTTGATGAGAATTTGGTTGCGGTTGCGTCTATTTGGATGCTAGACTGCCTACGTACCCTTGATGGGATCAAACCAGCGTAGTTCTGAAATGATTTGGGTGGAGATTTAATTGATGAGAATTTTGGTTGTAGTTGCGTCTATTGAGATGTTAGACTGCCTACGTACCCTTAATGGGATCAAACCGGCGTAGTTCTAAATTAGAAATTAATGGGTAAGTGTGACCCAATAATTTAGAATTTGTATCTTTGAGACAATTTGGGGATTTTCATAGGTAGATGACCTATAGGAAAAATTAGAAATTAATGGGTGAGTGTAGCCCACTAAAGAGATTTGAATTGAAATTTGCATGAGTAGATAACCCATGAAAAATTGGATGGTTTTGTACCACTTTTCTTGTTGTCAATGTCCAAGAAGAATAATGAGTAATTTGAATTATCCTATTAATTTTTCCTTATAATTGACAATTACATTTGGACCCAAATATGGATGTGAGGATGTTTAAAATTGATCCATGAACTATATAATAGGCAGTTTGGGTCTTTATAAATTTAATGGATAATTATTTGAATCACCAATTAAATATTATGCGCCTTTGAAAATCAATGAACAATTATTTTTGACAGTCCATTATTTTATTTCCGGCCTACGATATTTTGATTGGCCCATTTTTTGGACATGTGAAGAAAAGAGAAAAGAAGGAAAGAAGAGAGAGAGTTGAAATAAACCCAAAACACAAACTAAGTGGCTGACGCCACGTTCTATTTTTTTTGGTCTTTTGACTTCTTTTTTTCTTCTTTGAATTTCTTATCCCTTTCGAAACAAAGTGGCTGACACCACTTCCCTTTTTTTTTTTTTTTTTTACTCTTCTTCCCTTTGTTTTCTTTTCAGTGGAAGCCTCCTCCTTTTTCTTTTTTTTTTTGGTTACTGCCATACATAACACCAAGCCAATTCCTCTCGTCTATTTTTGGTTTTGGTTTTTGTTTTCTTTGCTTTTGGTTTGCTGCGCAACCAGAAGTTGCCAACAGGAACGCGGCTATCCTTTTTCCCTTTTTTAAGGATCTCCATCCTTTGTTTTAATTGTTTGCAAACAATCCCCAGATGAGGAATTCAAGGATGGGCTGCACAACGTGGCCTCCGTTTTCAAGCTTTGTTTCTCTCCTTTATGTGCACGCAGCTGATTTTTTTATTTACTGTAAGATTAATCCCCCAATGATTCTGTTTGTGGGTTTTGTACCCAAATTGGATTTGTCATCCAGAGAACTCAGTGAATGAGCATTGTGCCCAAAGCGGATATATCAGAGAGTGTTTGATTGAGGGTTACACACCCATGGTGGATTTTGTATCCAAGATTTGTTTAGGGTGTAAAAACCCAAACTTGTTTTGAGGGTGAAAACCCATATTTGTTTTCAGGGTGAAATACCCAAGCTTTGTTTCTGGGGTGCGAAACCCACTGTTTTGATTTTAGGGTTTATTACCCAAAGATGGATTGAACATCCAGGAAATTTTGATTGAAGGGTTGCCACCCATTATGGATTTATCATCCAACAAAATGATTTAAGAGTTGCCACCCATGATGGATTCATCATCCAAGAGTTTGATTTGAGGGTTGCCACCCGTTTGATTGATTAAAAGGGTTGCCACCCAACATGGAGGACCTCAAGAGAGGAGCCCTGTTGCCCTTTTTTCTCTTCAGAGTCTGCCGCTGCGTTTTTTCTCTGCAGCCTCACGGCTACCTCTTCTCCAAGCCCTCGTTTGCTAAGTGGGCAGCCTCTCTGCTGAATGGAGTTGCCAAAAAATAAACACGATCTCTTCCCACCATTATATGATTATCCTCTTCCTTTATTTATCCCTTCCTTTTTTCTAGGGATAAGAATAGGGACAATTTGATACACACGTTGTTTCCCATTTGTTTTGAGAGCAATTGTCATGTGGTTGTGGGAATCACCCACCCAACGTTATGGGGGTTATCTAAACCCACGATTTTTTTTTTATAATTTTTTTTTTTTTTGGTTCAACATGGCGGTACCCTATAAAACCCGTTTTATAGAAACTAACAATTTCATTGTGGTCTTAGATTCTGAGGTTAACATGGTGGACACTGGTATGCTAAAATATTTCCCTAAGGCTATACAGAAGTCGCAGGATACTTCAAACTTCAAAGGCTAGGATCACACTAAGCTTGAGTAGGCTTTAGACTTTCAGTCGAGGTCCCTTCCGTTGTTGCTGCAGTAGCTTTAGCCTTTAGACCTGGAAGATCAAGGATGATTACCCCAAGCCAACACAACATAGAAAAGTGGAATGAAAATTGGCTCTAGAGGAGAGGGTCAAGATTGAGAATTTTATTCAATATGGACCACAAATACAAAGTTTAGAACTCAGATGTTCCAGATAGCATTTCAAAAGGACTTCCAATTGCTTTTGAAAGCAGAATTTGCACACCAAATACCTTGCAGTTGCAGCATTAGTGATGGCTTGCAGCATTAGTGATGAAGCTTCACGATTAGTCTATCAAAAACGTAGATTCAAATCCATCCAGAGTACTAAATATCATTGACCAAATATTTGTCTCATATAACTCATAAATACAGAAGTACCTTCAACACCAGACTCAAGCAGATAATTATAATGAGTATTAACAATCTATACTGTATATTTATTTATATACATCTCTCAATGAATATAATGAGTGGTATTCTTTCCAACAAAGTTATTTGGAAAAATTAATGGACTATGAATTAATGATACATCTTACTACAACCTACCATGGAACAAGTACATACAACTAACACTGTAACAGGTGCCAAACCAAAATGCACGGCCCATTTACTAAAGAAATTATTTACCGTTCTTCTCCTGACATTCGGTGATAAATAATAGTCTCCTCTGAACTCGGATCCACGTGATATTGCCCATAAAATGCATAAATACCAACTGTAATAATGCAAAGGATGACAAATCTCACCCATGCTTCATGGTGTATCTGCAAAAGAATAAATTACTTATCACTCATCCGCTTTGTTATTTGAACTCTTTGATTTAGTTCCTTTCATTACCACTTTTCTGGCGAACTAAAAGAGTACCTGGGCGAATAGAAACATGTTGAAGAAGATGCATGTGGCTGGGACAATAGGAACACCAGGACAAGAAAACCCTGGCAGATCGGCATAAACCTGAGAAAAAAATAAAGATGAAAACGGGGATACAAAGAGATATGGTCATGCAGCCTATCCGTGACTCAATTTAAAACCATATTGCATAAGGTTGGGCACACACTTTTAACTCTTGAAGACTAGTTAGTCACTAAAAATTTCAGATTTTGATTTACCAACAAGTATTATGAATCCTGCAACCAATTAAATAACAGCACATAATGGTCACTTACTTGGCGGAAACAAAGAGCACCCATAGCAAGTATTGCCACAACTACAGCTACCACCAGAAAAACAATTGAAACACTGAATCTGTAGCAGAGTCCAGCACTAAAACCACCACATGCAACTATTAAGAGGCAGATGACACCTTCCCGCCAGGTAGAAGAAGACACTTGACTTGATGCCTTATCTTTCAAACGAAGAGCAACAACACATGCAGCAACGACAGAGTAGCCTGTCTGAAACAAGCCAATACAAGGTGAGGTGTATACACCCGAAAGTATTAGCAACAAAGAAATGCCTGATAATACCAATCTTAGTACAAACCCCAAAAGCCATGCAACTATTTCCTACAGTTCTACAGCTATCCATCACATCATGCCGTGCACTGTGCCACTGCCATCTTCGATAGAACTTAAGCTAGATAATGATGTCATTGGCAAATGATATATTTTATAGTAGTTTCAAAATATATGAAACAGCCTCAACCCATATTTTAAAGCACATTCATTTAACATCCTCTATATGCTACAAACAAATTTGGACAGTGACTTACCAATGACCCAACTGAAAGAATGTGCGAGAGAATATGCACATTGAACAAGCCTGCCAAGGCGGCAGCAACAATACCAACCCAGACCTGAGAATGAATGGGAGTGTGGCATCTTGGGTGTACTCTAGCAAACACTGAAGGTAGTAAACCATCTCTTCCAAGCCCAAGATATAATCGAGACTGTTCATGAGAAACAATCCATCATTTAAATTGGCACATGCTACATGATGGGAGGTCACTTCAACTAAGTCAGGGGTAAAATGGCTCACCTGAACATACAGACCAACTAGTAGGGTAGTCGTAAGTCCAGCAACAGCACCTACACTGATTAAGATTGAAACAAATTTCAATCCCTTGGATGTAAAAGCATTAGCCAATGGAGCATCTTCCCCAAGTAAATAGTAAGGTAGCATTCCAGTGATCACCAAACAGACACCAATATACAATGTAATACATATTAGAAGGCTGCCGATGATTCCTATTGGCAAGTCCCGCTGAAATATAAACGTTGAAAAAAAAATGATGAGAAATTCTGATAGAAGAAGATGGCGTGGAAGATCTTTTCTACACATATAAACAGAATACTCATCAGATTAACTAAAGTAGTTGGCTACAAAAGAAGTTTAATCACTCCAAACGTGGCATACCTGCGGTCTCTTTGATTCTTCAGCTGAATTAGCAACTGCATCAAATCCAACATATGCAAAAAATACAACTGTTGCTCCAGTCAATATTGGTTTGAAACCATCTGGGGCAAAAGGGGTCCAATTTGAAGTATCAACCTCAAAAGCACCAGCGAAGATGACAATAATAACAATGATAACCTGCAGGAAAATTGGCATAATATAAATACACCTGCTTGAATCGCAAACACTTTTAGTGCAATGCTTCACTTAAAGAAAATACATGGAAAGAGCACCTTTGTTGCAGTCATAAATGAGTTTACGGCAGCGGATTCTCCTACACCCCGACAAAGGATTACAGTAAGAAGCACAAGGAGAACAGGAGCTAATACATTGATCGATATAGCTCCTCCGAGGAACTTTTGGCCACCGTGTCCAATCCAGTCTGGAATGTTTTCCTTAAAAATTGGGAATAGTTCTAGAATTGTAACTACATAGCTTGCTAAGCTCCGGGCTATGCTAGCGGCTCCAATATGATAGTCGAGCATAAGTTGTGCAAAAACAAGAAAAGCAGTGAGCTCATTGAAAGCCGTGTATGTGTAAAGGTATGCTCCACCAACAACGGCAGGAAAGCGAGAAGCTAGCTCAGCGTAACAGAGTGCATTTAACACACAAGAAACTCCAGCAAGAATGAAACTAATAGTCACTCCTGCATCATTATAACAAACTTCATATTAATCCACTCAAAGAGAACCCAACATAAACAAAATTGGCTCTGCTAAGATCCTTATGCATTACTAATTTAAAAAAACACTAATTATAAATTTCCAAATCTCCAAAAAGCTGAAGCTAACAGCAGATGGCACCAATATATATATATATATATATATATATATATATTTATAAATTCCAACACAATCTCTAAGATGGAAAAAAAAAAAAAAAACTAAAAACTCAATTTGAAATATGTACTTAGGTATGCTTCAAGAAATGACAATTCATTTGCAGATTATCATGGATTATGGTTTATCTAGTAAAGATGATAAATTGGGATTTGAAAAACTGCCCATTAATCCATTTCATACTGCAATTAACAAATACTCCAGCTTTTCTTCAGCTGAACTATTAGTTAATAAAATATTAAGCATACAGATTAAAATTGAAGAGTTCAGCCTTCAGATCATTATTACCAGGGCCAGCGTCGTGGGCGACGGTGCCGGTGACGACGAATATGCCGGCGCCTATAGAAGCGCCGACGCCGAGGAGTATGAGGTCAAACATGCCGAGGCGACGGACGAGGCCGTCGCCGGAGTTCGTGCGGACGGCAACTTCCAATGGAGAGCCCAAGGGTTTGGTCCTTAAAGCCGACGACCAGAAATGCGACCAGCATGACGACGATGCCGACGACGTCGTTTGATTCTGGGTTGTCCGCCTCTGACCACCTCCCATCGTTTCTTTCTGGGTTTCTAATTTTGTTTGCGAGCAGTGGACGAAGATGTCTGTCTGGTATTTATGTTAAGAAGTGTGGGGCCCACGCAGTGAAATGTGTAATAAACTGAGAGGAAATGTACGGATCTTTTAGATACTGAAAACCAGTGATTGAATGTGGACTGTTACTGTACACCCATTCATATTCACACACGTTTCTTTTTCTTTTTTCTCTTATTTATTTATTTTTTTATTTATTTTTCTAAAAAATTTCTTGTGGTAAATTGAGCACATGCTTTTTTGCAGAAAAATTTGTATGGTATTAATACCTACCCTATCTTTTGACCAAAAATTTATAACCAGAAAGAAACCCCTATATCAAGATATGTATATTAATCTTTTTTGGGATTGTGTAGCAATTGAAGTAAATTTATACAGCACATAGACTTCCCATACCAAGATCAATAGCCCCTTGGAATGTCTACTAACCTCCCTTTATAGGCACACCTAAGAGCATGTCCAGCGCTATGCAATAACCCGGGCAAAAGGCCCCCCAAAGCCCAGTTTCGCACTCCAGCGCAGCAACTGCAGCCCGGGCAAGCCCTGGGTCCCACCAGCCCGGGCAGGCCCAAGGGCAAGTTCTGCCTGGGCTTCAGCCTGAGTTTTGTGACGTCAGCACTGACGTCATGCTGACGTCAGCACTGACGTCATGCTGACGTCAGGGCGCAGAAATTCCAATTTTTTTTTACTGTTGTGCCACGTGTCGCGACAGGAAGGCTCCTCTTTTTTTTTTTTTTTCCAGAAATCCGACGGTCCTCGTTTTTTTGGCTTAAAAAATTGCAAAAAAATTCGAAAAAATTCTGAATTTTTTTTAAAAAAATACCAAAAAATTCTGTATTTTTTCCCTATAAAATACCTAACCATTTTATTTACTTTCCACACCAAATCTTCATACAATTCTCCTTTATCCAATATTTTTTAGTCTCCACTCACATTATTCACTTTCCACACCAAATCTTCATACAATTCTCCTTTATCCAATATTTTTTAGTCTCCACTCACATTATTCACTTTCCACACCAAATCTTCATACAATTCTCCTTTATCCAATATTTTTTAGTCTCCACTCACATTATTCACTTTCCACACCAAATCTTCATACAATTCTTCT